CTTTCATATGTCAAGGGCTGGTAAGGTTTTGCACCTGTCTCTTATACACATCTAGATGTGTATAAGAGACAGGGCGAGAGCTTCTTTGTCTCAAGAAACGATTGCTTGTTCACTCTTTCATTGAGGATCGGAGAGAGAGGCGTTCCGACACACATGGTCGTGCTTTAAGCAACCGGATAGGGAACCCCCTTGTGCAGCAGTAGGCTCCAAAAAAAGCCTCCCATAGGTTTGAGGAGGGCTTGCAGTTGGTGCTTGGGAGAGCACGCAAAGGAGGTTCTTTGCGGCTTACTGACAAAGAGAACAAAATCGATTGGAGACGTCTAACCTACCACATTGACTCAGGTCAAAGTTGGCGATCCAGGTTTGACTGCATTGCGACTCGAGGGCCGTGCGATAGATTCCAGATCGCTGACTTCTGCCATGGTCTATAGTTCGAAATCCAAACGGAGGGAAGAGGCAAGGAGAGTTTACTGCAGGTCGTCGGGTCATGGATCGTGTTTGCCACGATCAGATGATCTACGGCTCAAATCAGGTGAGGAGCGAGGTGGCACTGCAGGTCATTGATTGTGGCTTATCCGCCCCACACTTGCGAATGGTGTTGCATCGTCAGGTCTGTAAGGGTTGGCCCCCATTCCTTCAACTGAGGGCGCAACCATGCTAGGACTTTTGTCAATGTGCGTACTGTAACGAACATGACCTCAATTACGGCTAACATTCAGCCATATAGATCCAATTCAAGTTCAAACTGAGGTACACACTGGAGGAAGTATTGCTGGCGTAAGGGGGAGACCAAACCATCAGATTCGGTGAGGGTTAGCGTGCTTACAACAGAGGCATCTGGTGAGCCAAAAATAGACTTGCATTTTGACAAAGTTTCTGTCCAACACAATCTCATCACAGTCCACTAGGAAATTATGCGATCAAAGATTGGTGATCGGCGCAATACAGCGGAGCACAGTGAGAGCACAACGTCTGCTGGGAGTTCTGTATACTTAACAGAGGAAACGCCACGGGAACGCCGAGCCGATTGTCCAGCACCACAGTGTTATGTCTCTGTCTTTATCTCGCTTATCCGCTTGGAACGGGTGTTATGCCCAAAAGCAAAACATAGTTAATCAACCACAAGTGACTACCATCCCCTTTGATTCAGAATCCTTTTTTGTCCTTGAATGAATGTCAAAAGCGGGACTACGGGGACAACGAATTCCTCTCGTACTGGAAGAAAAGCTCAGTAGGACCATTGCCCTGGTCCCAGGAGAAGGCACAAACGCACGAGCAAGCGGAGGTGGGTGGGGCTTGTCAGGCAGATTGGACTGAGTGTGGGGTGCTTGGCCCAAGCATGTTGGGGCTGATTGTAGCCTGGTAGGATTATTGGGGTGCTTTTGCTTTCTTGATCAAGCATGTTGCTGATTGAAGGGCCATTGGAAAGGAATGGTTGCAACTGCATGTCAAGGCCTCTAAACATTGCCCTAGTGGACATGGGCTATCTGGGGTAAATCTTTTCACAGGATGCCAACCTCATAGTGCAGCGGCATTTCGCCATGAGATGGCCATGGGGAGCGCGACTGTCGTCAATGGGGCAAGACCCGAGCATGGGATAGGTGAACATATGCTCAGTGCCATTGACCTGGATGGAATTCCCCTTTCCCCCACTACAAAGGCATGGTTGAAGAGAGTTCTTTATAGCAATGCCAGTGGAGGGGAGTTCGGAGGAGGAGGAAGAGTGGGAGTAGGGAAAAGAGGAGGTGCTGGAGGCGGCGGCGGCGGAGGAGGTGGAGAAGGAGGAGGAGAAAGAGGAAGAGGAGGTGGAGGAGCGGCATCATTAGCATGGGAAAAAGCCGCAGAAGCTGGGGGAGAAGAAGCAGCAGCAGCAGTGGCAGGGGTTGAAGCAGCAGCAATAGCAGCAGCCAGAGAAGGAGATGGAGGAGAAGAAGCAGGAGGAGCAGCAGCTAATGAGCAGCGACTCCTGCCTATCGTCTTGCGATCTGCGCCAGCCACACAGACTGGAGAAGGTTGGGCAGGGGGGAGGGGGAGTGGGGATGTTCGTCACGAGCAGTGTATTTTCCCCACTGGGATAAGCTCTTGCCAGCAGCCCAATGTTCAGGACAAGAACTTGCAGACCATTGGTGGCGAAAGTCTGACGGGAGGAGTCGATCCCAACAGATCTCAGTCAGTAAATGAGGGACCAGGAACAGATCCAACGGCTGTCGCGTCTGCTCAAACACACCATTCATCCCAGTTTACCCTTGCAGCTGCCAAGCTTGATGTATCAGGGGTCAATTCCAAACAGGTGGCTGTGACTTCAACCACTGGAGAGCTTGCAGCTGCAGCAACTGATGAAAGGGCGCATGAGTCGGCTGTCAGCTTGCCACGGGCAAGCAGCAGTTTGGTGCCACACCATATTGCCAAGCTAAACTCAGGAAACATCTATCCGCTCTACAGCTGCGACAGCCCAGAGTTTGTGGTGTCAGGGCAGGGACATGGCCGGGCAAATGATCCTTCGTCTGTGCGTCAGCCAACTCAAAGAGTCCTGGCAACTTTGCATTGTCAGAAGTCCCCAGAAAATTGTTCGATTGGTATGTCAGCTAGCCATTCATGCCCCGAGCTCCCGCTCCACTGGCAGAACATGCGCCTTCTGCCGCTGTCTGATTTGGGACACCCTGCGGGGGACGGCAGCCTGTTAGAAGAAGTTGCCTCCTACGGGGACGGGAAATCGTCACCATACCCTGGGCGGGCGCAAACAGGGAGATGCGTGTCAGCACTAGATCACAGTGGACGTCGAATAGATCCCATTTGTCAAATCGATGGCAGAGAATCGAGGTTATCAGCATCGAACGCGTCATGCGGAAGGGTGCATGATCAGAATACGAGTCCGCCGACTAGCCCAAAAGGAGTAGTCGACTCAGGTGTACATATAGTAACCCTAGTCGGAACCTGTCAACCAGCAAGCCCAAGCCCGACCGCATACGCTGTCATTGAGGCAAGCAACAAGAAGGGAGCAGCTGCAGCGCTTCCTGAAGTGTCAGGGAACAGCCATGTGGCTACGTTTCCTGGTGGCGGAAACGGAGCTGGTTGCGCCACATGTAGGCGCCAGCCTTTGATCCCTCTGGGTAGAAAGATCGAGGAGGTTGTTGCGGAGCGCGCTGGTGCAATCACAATGTTGGGCCAGGAGCAAGGGATTGGCGGGGGGCTGGGCAGACAAGGGGCATGGTTGGCGAACTTGAATGCAGCCCCTGGTCAAGATCAGGGAGCCGGGACCATACGTGGGAGGCTTCATTCTCTTAATCTTGCTTCAATTTTGGATTCTGAGCCGGTTCATTTTGGCGATACCAGGGAGGAGAAACTGAGATCTGAGTTGTCTGCCTTTAATGGGTTTCAGGCTGAAGGCGGCGGTGCCGAACAGGTGCGAAGGCCGATGGCTGTCAAAACGCCGCGTATACCTGAGGACGTTCTCCGGGGTGACATAGAGCGCGTCGTGGAAGCAGAGGCCGCTCTCTCATGGGGCCACATCCATAAGGCTGTGTCAGAACAAAGGGTGCTCTTACAGATACCCCCCAAACTGCTGAATAAATGCACTCAAGCAGTGGAGAAAGCAAGGGAGCAGGAGTTTAAGCAACAAAAGTCCACGAAGAGACTCAGTGGTGAAGGCCCAGGCCTGCTGCTGCGGAAGCGATGGTTGGCGAAAGATGCGGGCTGGGCATTCTTGTTCAATGAGGACCCGGTACGAGCCGGGATAGGAAAGGGAGGAAGAAAGAAGGGCATGAGTTTGGGGTTGCTTCTTGCTCCTCTCAATGCAAAGCAATGGCTTGTGGAATGCCTAGCAAGCAAGGGGGATGCCGAGGTGGCAGCTCTCCTCGAGGAGGTGGGTGAGATTGACTTCTCCTCTTGACATCTTTGGTGGTTGTCGGCAGTCAAAATGAAATTGATCATTGATGGCTTTTCTGTTCTTTTTCTCCCATGAGAAAAGCGCTAAGGTCAGTGCACAAGATTACTTCATTATGTGAAACTATCGACCATAATGATGATCGATTGTCCTCGAAAGATTAGCATTCCGGCTATTCTCTGATTGTAGAATCTTAACATGTCAGCATGATCCATGTGGGATTATTCCACATTCCGCCATGGACTGTGGGTTATAAACTTCTTTTCTTTATACTAAACGGCGACATTTGAAATCCACTCAACAGAATCGCACAAACCAATGTCCTACCAGATCATCACTCCTTACAAAAAAAGTACGACGGCTTGCTTGATGATATAAAGTCTCCGTTCAAAAAATCCCTGTTCTCCCAGTGTTACTTACAGCTCAGACTTTCGAAAGCTCAGCACGGTCTTAACATCTTCCCAGGGGAACGGCTGTATCCTGTTCAGTCTTGGGGAGCGACTCAATCCCGTTTCTTGATATCTTCGGGAGCGTTTCCATACTGTTTCCCCAGCTCACCATCTATCAATGAGAGATTTTGTGCACGGAAGCAGCACTCTGGCATTGCCTCCCATAATATAGAATGAGGCCTCCTGGCCTCGATGGTTGCCCTGTCCCTTAGACTACTCAAGGTTGGGGAGGCTCTCACTACCTTCTTCCCCTGAATACAACGTACGGTCAGTATAGCTGTATTTGAGCCATCTTTCAGTCTAGATACATCTATAATGACCGTACGTTGTATTCGGGGGAAGAAGGTAGTGCGTCCCTCTCATCTTAGTACACCTTCTTACAAGCTTCTCCCTCCCAAGCAGAGTGCGTGGCGCTGCGCTCCCTGTCCAGTGTCCACCTTCTCCCAGTTGTTTGCTGATTATTGGTTTCAAATTTCAATGCCGTTTCGTCGGTTTTATTTTCCTTTTGAAAGCTGATGCCGCAGTGACTTCTGATCTTTCTGCTCTTAAAAAAAAAAAAAAAAAAACCCTTCTTCGCCGCTTGCCGTCTGCAATGTTCTGTTTCATGTTCAGCCTGGCCTGTCCTCCTTTTTGTTTTTTTTCAAGTCATTCCTCCTTGGTATGGTTTCTATCTCATCCTGCCCGCCCATCCCGTTGAGGTGTGACGTGGCAGAAAGATGGCTTGCGCTCTCGGAGCACCTTGGCCGGCCAGTTGTGACTAAAACTTTCGTGTTTTTTTAACTTTTTTTTCTTCCCACTATGAGTATATTACTACTTCATGCCTTTCCGGTTTGTATTAAGAGGACTTGTACAGTAGGAAAAAAAAAAAAAAAAAAGGACGAGGACTTGTAGGGAATGCCAAGCACCTGCCACAGCTGGCCGCTGGCTCGAGCATGCACACAGTCGCAGGTGCTAATTGATATAAGTCATGCGTTCAAAATCCGAATTCTATCAAAATCCGAGAAAGATAGTGTCGAGGATTTTCCGGAAGAGAAATTGAACGACAAAAGAGTTACTCACACTAGGCCCTCAAAATGTTAGAATTGCAAAATGAGCGGCCAGATCAAGTCCTCCGTTCACAGGGACGCAATCTGGCCGCCGATTTTGTGATTCTGCGATTTTTAGGGCCTTGTGTGAGTATGCACTTAGGCACCTTCTTGCGATGTCTTACTGTGAGCACCACTTTTTTACCATAGTAAAATGATAGTATTTTGAATTTTCAGCGATCTTTTAATCCTTTGTTTGCAGCAAATAATTTTGTCTTCACCTCCTGGTCATGTCATAGTGGTTCCGATGAAAACGACACTGGTGTAAAAAAAAAAACAAAAAAAAAACCGACACTGGTATGTTCAGGGTTGTAGAGATTGAGGGTGAGGACAAAAAATGGAAAGTTTACTAGGAAATAATTCAAATAAATGAATTATACAATTTATAGTAATTTTATACTTGAACCGCCTTTTTTTTTTTTTCCTGCTGAGCTGAACCCTTTTTTTCTGTGTGAGAAAGACGTTAAAAAGAAACAAGAGGATGCCCGCAGCAGACGCGGCGGGAATCAAGAGGGAGGAAAAAATAAAAATAAAAATTGCAAACATCAGGGACAGTTCGTTTCTCTGCACAGCCAACATTTGGTGAGCGGCGCGTCGAGGCCCTAAAGTAAGACAAATGGCTGACCTCGCTCCACTACTCCCCAAATGTGCAAAAAAATGAGACCCAACATGGAAAGATACATTGCTGTAATTTCTCGTCTTTTGTGCATGGGGACATTGTGGAGAGTAGCGGAACGAGGCCCAACACGCGCAAATCGACACATGGGGCCTCACTCCACTGCTCTAGAAATGTTCAAAATGAGACTGAATCCTCCGCTAGAACAGGGAAAGATGCGTTGTCGTTTTTTTTTCCCTTTTTTCAAGCAACTAATATTGCCGGGAAACGAGCCCGGCGTCCCTTACATTGAAACCGTAGGCAGTGAGGGAGAAGAGGACAACAAATGAGGGGCTGTGACAAAGTGTTTCGTTGGAGTTTCACCGGCACATCAGGAGGCTATACACATATATTGCTGACAAGCGTTAAGGTTTGTGCGTATTTCGCTGTATTGTGTATTTTCAACGCTCGTATCCAGTGTTGGACTTCGTCGACTTTCGACTACTCTTCGTCTTGTCGAGTGATTGCGTTTCTCTACCCTTGGCAATTTACAGTCTGTGCTTATGAGTTGGCGTAGTCTGCTTTCAAAGGGGACTGACTCGCAGGATCTGTGTGTAATGAACCTTGATTCAATCCCATCCGTAGATGGGCTCAGCCCCTCAGTTAGCTCCGGAGGTGTTGCGAATGGCCAAGTCGGAGTGGATGAAGATGCAGACAGATAAGCCTAATCCAGCGCAGCAGGTCAACGTGGTGTTCCAGCAGGAGCATGGCAGGAAGGTGGCACCATTCACACAAAGGAAGTCGCAGGCATCGCTGGCGCTAGACACCCTTGATCAGGACATTTACCTTCTGCAACGAGTACGCCATCTGATCTTGCGATACACCGTAAAAGATTTTGGTGCATCCAAGGGTGGTGGATGGCCTGGAGGAGGAGGAGGAGGTGGTGGGAAGAAGAGAGATGGAGACGGCACAGTGGCATCTTTGAATGGGAGAAGGCAGCCTTTGGTGGAGGCCCTACCACCAAATGCGAGTGCCGATTTTGCTGCAAATGCTGGCGGGTATGAGGAGTCCGATTCACGGGTAAGGGAAGCGCCTGTGGGGAGTCGCCACGAGGGTATCGAGGGAGCCACGGTGGCTGAAACAGATGCACTGGTTGCAACACCAAGTGGATCAGGTATCCAATTGCAATTGCCAGCAGTTGGAGGGGGAAGTAGTGGCTACTTGGGACAAAAGAAACCGCCAGGTGGTGCGACGCTAGGAGCAGTAGGCGGCAATGCGATAGGAGGACCTGGGGGGGCGGTCTTAGGAGGGATGGGTGGGCCGGTGTTAGGAGGGAGCAGTGGGGCAGCATTTGCTGGGATGAATTTTAAGGGAAGGGAGAAATTTGATGGGTTTCGGTGGCAAGGGCGGAGGAGGAGTGAGCGAGGATCCATGACCATGGCTATGGCAATGGCCGCATCGTCGATTCCGCCACCAACTGGGCCTGGGCCTGGCAATGGGGCACCCTATGCAGCACCTGTCTCCGTGCAGCCACTACTCGGCGACTCTGGAGGAAGAACTGGCGTGACTGGACGGGAAGAGTCTGTGCCAATCAACAGCATGGAGACCGGACCGGGTGGCGTCCCGGATATGGCATCAGGGAGATCAGATGATGAGGGCACTGGGTTGGCAAAAGAAGGACCTACCAGCTTCTTGGCGCAGGTAAGGGATGATTTCACACACTCACTCAGAGCAGCAGCAGGATATGGTGTCCACTCCTTGAATTGGTGGCAAGTTCGGTTAAAAACTTAAAATGTCGTCTGGATTTTGTTATAAATGGCACGACAAAGTGTCTTAAAATTTAAGTCTCCGCAGGGCTTCATACCTGCCGTCTGCCGACGACCGTATAGAAGCTGGCCAGTAGGGCCGACCTGCCGGCGGTCTGCCGACCAGGCAGAAAACAGCCATCCACTGATTGTTTTTTAATTCTGAGTTGGGGCTGTACTGCGCTTGCTGAGTACAGCCCAAAT